CCCTGAAAATTCCATACGGATTACCATATTGTATTATTAATATATATATATATATATATATATATATATATATATATATATATGTGTGTGTGTGTGTGTGTGTGTGTGTGTGTGTATTTAGGCAGCAATCCTTCTTTCATGCACATTTAATTGAATACGACAAACAAGGTGCTTTGATTTAGTTTATTTATACAATTTTTCATGTGATCTAATAATTGTTTTCTTTTCAGATGATAAATTATATGAAAACTGTCTAATTGTTCTTTTTATCCGAGCGCTTTCAGCTATACATTTAGCCATTTTCAAGGTTGAAATATTTTAACTGTTAAATAAATAGTTTGTTGTATGTATGTATTTATATAATGTATTCATTTTCAAAACACAGTCAAGATATTGTGTCCATATCATAGCTGATAATATTGAATGTTGTTTTTTTGTTTTTATTAATAAGTCTTCCATTATTCTTAAAGACGCTCATAAAAAAAAACTATATAGTATAGTTTTCCTCTTGTTTTTTCATCCATTTTGTCTCCTCTACAAATATACTCCATCTGAGAATATTTACACCCCATATATATATATATATATATATATATATATATATATATATATATATATATATATATATGTCTGTGTGTGTGAAAAGTGTATATAAATATAAATAAAATATATATGTATAATTATTTATATATTATATGCGCGGTACTTATTAGAAAGCGCTCAATATCAGAGATAGAGCTAACATATTTGGTTGGATAGATGTGAGTTTGTGACCCTGGGTTTCACGCTTTTAGCGATCGTCAGGTCACAAACTCACATCTATCCAACCAAATATATATATATATATATATATATATATATATATATATATATATATATATCCTACAGTTCAAAAGTTTGAAGCCACACTCAGAATTAGCATGGGATGAAGAATGAAATAAATGAAAAAGAGCTCTTAGAGTCATTGGAAAAAGAATGGAATCAAAGTATCAAACTTATACTTTGAGAAACCTTTGCCGCGAATGCCAAAAATTTCTGCTGCAGTAATCAAGGCTAAAGGAGGCTATTTCGACAAGAGCAAAATTTAATTATAAAATGCTTTTTTTCTTTTTTCCTCCCAGTTTATCACTCATGGTTCTTGTTAACAATATTCTAGTAGCCAACGATTCTTCTTATGAGGTGTTAGCCAAAAAAAAGTTTACCTTTTAGGGAAAAAATATGCGGTTTTGTCTGTTTTATATTTATAAGTTCTGTGGCATCTAACACACACACACACACACACACACACACACACACACACACACACACACACACACACACATAAAAATCGACCTAACAACTAAGAAGAAAATACAATGAAAGTGCACTGATTTCATAATTCTCTACGGTCAATCATACACTTCGCTTATATAATATCTATCACCGCAAAAGCATTAGCACAGTACAATACGGTATATGAACTAATAGAGAAAAAAAGAGATCTGCACTGTGTCAGTTAATTTAGAATCCAGCAAACGTTAATTGCTTCAGTTCGCACACACGCACACATATAACAATGGATTTTACAACCCAATTATTTATTCTGCAACATAAAAACCCTTTTTCAATGTACTTAATTCAGTGGTAAATATTAGTCATGTGATCGAAGATTATGCAGTGAAATCTACTAACTTCGTGTCAGGTTACCCCCCCCCCCACCCAAGTCTCTCTTTCTCTATCTATCTAAATTCATCAGAATTATTTTTCATGAAAGTTGGATGAAAATCCAGTTGCCTCTATCTGTATTAGTTACTGCTTCGGCCGACAGATGGCGAAGCTGGTTATTTTCTTGTTAGATAATCTTATCTGTTTTAATTCTGTATCAGCCCTGTTGCTGCGTCTACGCTCACCTCGCTATACTTCCAATCTCCCGGGTCCTTTAGTTCCTGATTAACCAAATAGGCAGCGGATAAACAACCGTGAAAATCCCCAGCCACACCTTGAAGTCTTTGGAACACGTTCAGCTAATTGACGTTTTTTTTCTCTCTGCCTTTCTTTAAAGCTGATTTCATTGGAAACTCGAAAACAATAAGTAATTTTGCTACAAAACCATTTTCTTATATATTTAAATGTAGAAATACAGAGAAAACTAGGAAAGTGATTGGGGGATGTGAACAGAAATTAATTCTATGGGACTATTATATTAGGCCCATTGCCAAGGGAGCTCTTTATGTAGGACTTCGACTACACCACCAATAAAAGTTACCATCCACTGTGAAAATGAAGAGAAAAAATTTTAGTATGAAAATTCCTACTAGCGTCCCGTTATATTGATTTTCTAAGCGTAGCTTAGATATGGCACAAGGCCGAAAGTATGGGGCACCCAGTGAGGATCAAACTCACTATTAAGTTGTAACTGTTTTAGCAAGACAAGCTTGCTAATCATTACACCACGGCGAAGTGCCCATCACCTCCTGTTATAAAAACCGCCATTCTGTTGACGTACTTGTATTATGGCTAAGATAAGTTTTCCTTTTGTCTTTATTCATATTGTACTTTTACAGATATACTCTATATGAAATTTTTACACGCACACACACACACACACATATACACATATAAATATATATATATGTATGTATGTAGGTCAATATATATATATATATATATATATATATATATATATATATATATATATATATATATATATATATTATTATATGTGTGTGTGTTTGGGCGGTGTAATGTTTAGCAAAATTGTCTCGCTAGAACAATTACGACTGAGTAGTGAGTTCGATCTTCATTGGGTGCTCCATACTTTCGGCCTTGTGCCACATCTAAGCTACGCTTGGGAAATCACTATATGTGCGTGAGTGTGTGTATCAATGAAGGTACAGAACGAATAGAGTACAATTTCAACGTTCGTAACATTTAATTTTAAAGAGGCCTCAATACAGAGTAGAGCAATATTATTTATTTTAGGATATTACACCGAAAATATGTAAAAATCGCTACACAATTGCCGTCGTGTTTCGATGCATATGAATGCATCTCATCATGCTATTGTAAATTACTGTCCAGTAATTTTACAATCAGATATTACTTTGAAAGTAATTTCCTTGGCGAGTACTAATGAACTGAATCGCTTATACATAACATTACATTTGATTTATCTTAGGACTGCGAATTTCTTACAAGTGTCAAATGTTCGAAACGATGTTCTTCATTCAATTTTAGCAATGGCTATTTAGCGACTTCATCTAGTATCACTTGTATATTCTTATAGTTTGCCGCATTATTGTTTATCGTACTTCTCAAAGTTAGCATTCTTGAACATAACAAACCACTCATGACTGCTTTCAACCGGATCAGCTCTATAGATTTCATTAATCCTTTTCTTCGTTTCTGATTGTCTTGTCTAACTAGAAAATAATTTGGTCTAGTACATTTTGAATCTGCTGCTATTAGTTTGTTGATCAACCATTAATTGTTTTTGTTTCTGTTTTGAAACTGTTGTTTGAACCGTAACCGGGTGATTTATGAACTATTTTAAAACTAGTATATAAAAACTTAACGTAAAAATGACTCTGATGTACTTCTGGTGTAGTATGAAATGCAGATATTTTTATTAGTTTTATTTATTTATTTTTGTATTAGGCTTCATATGATTTGAAATAATAAAAACCTTGAAGTGGCGAGTTACCTGACGTTTCTCCTGCCTAGAGACGTGATAGAATTTGTCGCTTCTCTAAGTAAAAATTCCAAAAAACATCTACATAATTTAAAGATTACAATTACGAAGAAAGAAAAAAGAATTAAAAATGATTAGAAAAATGAAACTAAAAAAAAATAAATAACAATTTTTAGGATAAAATTTTGTTACAAAATCTTGTCGCCAGGGGCGTTGGCGGTTGTGTTAATTTCTAGTTTATGCTGTCTTGAGATAAAATAACAATAGTTACAAAGAATAAACTGACCAGTCTATGAGTTGGCGTATGCTTACATAGTGGAGACACATAGCGGTCAGGTTTTCATTTCCGCTATTTGATGCTATCTGACAATGAGCAGATCCAAGACTACCAGATTACATATTACCTGTTTTACTGATTTACGCTTCAATAGCATATCTGTTGGATTCGTTAAGCGTTTTTCATTAGATATGCAGATGACACAGTGATAGCAGACACAGAAAATAAACTACAGGATCCCCCATAAAAGTTAGTAAAGGAAAAAGAAAGGACTAAACATCAATTGTAAGAAGACAGAATGTATGGTTGTCAGCAAGAGGAAGAGGCCAAGTAAAGGAAAGAGAGAAGAAAGGGCTAAGCATCAATTGTAAGAAGACAGAATGTATTATTGTCACCAAAAAGAAGAGTCCAACATGCAAATTACAATGTTGGGATGCCAATATCAAGCAAGGACAAAAATTCAAATATCTAGCAAGTGTTTTAAATGCGACACGGAAATCCGAAGGGTAATTGGGATATTGAAAAATGCCTTCCAAAAGTTAAGGAAAGTATTAAGAAATAGAAAAATCTGGTTAGAAACAAAGAAAATAGTACTTAACTATGAAATATCGGTTTACCTATATGGCAGTGAAGACAGGGCAATCTCCTCACAGATTCATGGGATGTGGGGGTCTCATCTCGCCTGGCTGGTGATCGCTGGTCGTTTTGTTTCAATCCTCTTCTTCTCTTGGTCGGTGTCGCGAAATGTTCTTTGGCTTCAGAGACAAAAAGCATCAACAAAGAGAACTTTTAACTTAGTTAATTTTATTAGCGTCGCCGACGTACATTCTATCAAGTAGGGGTTACTACACCCCCTATTAGGGAACCGCTTTCAAACACGAAATCTCACACGTCCATTTCCTTTGATGTTTAACAACCAGCACTCGAAAGACCCTTTCCCCTTTCCCCACGATACTGGATGATGTCCCTCTACAGTCATTGTTAAAATAGGTTAAAAAAAAACTTGGTGCCGAGCACTTAACAGTTGTAAGACTTTCACAAAGTATAGGGGCTTACGGCTGTATCACATTGAAACACCGGTTCCTTTACAATCATCGAAGTTAAGCAACGTCGTGACCGGTCAGTACCTAGATGGGTTACCGTTTGGGAATACTATGTGCTATAAGCTTGGATGCGCAGGTGGTGAATTGTTTATCGGAGTACCAAGTTTCAAATCCAGTTGGGTTTGTTGTATTCATTTACGCGCAATTACCCTTGGGAAAGGTATGAATCCATCTCTTCCCCCAGCTATGGGTTAATTAGTAAAATTTGTTTCACTAAACCATTATTATCTCCAGAAAAAAGGTAAAAATCTTACGATCAAATAATATTTTCTGGCTTTAAATAACCTGCAAAGTGTTGATAAGCCGTAGAAAACGAATCAATCAAGCAATCAAATTCCTATTTCCGATCAGCGCCAAAGATCAGTGTTCGAGGCTAGTTAAAAAAAAAAACAAAAAAAAACTAACATTTCCGAATACTGAGTTTTAAAATGGGCAATCTCTTTCCGCTGGGAAAATTACCCTAAGAAAATCTTCCAAGTCCAGCTTCAATCCCATCTTAGCTTGTTTCTTATTCAACTGAGAACACTGATTAATGACGTCATTTTTCTGGCTTTAAATAACTTGCAAAGGGTTGATAAACCGTAAAAACGAATCAATCAAATAAAAAGAAGCAATGTATAGGGACGTTTCAAAAAGAAATAAAATAAGTTTCAAATGAATTATCAGGTAATAATTTTTTTTGTGGATAATTGTCACTGGGCTTGAAAGGTAGGGTCATGATAATAACCTGAAATGTCGAAAATCATGGGTGGGTCATAGAGTTTCTGTAGCATTAACAGCAAGTCCAAATCCATTTTGGTGGGCTATCAAAAGTAAGTTACATTACGATCTGCTATCAGTTGTTTCTGTAAACAATTCCCAATTACATAGCGCTTACATTTTTTTTAATCCCCAGTTTCAAATATTGATGTTGACGTTAGAAGTTCACTCGAGTCTCATTCAGCCGGGTTTCATTAACCCACAACTCTCATGCGCATCCTCCTAACCTATTTTGGTCAACCGATAACTATTGCAATGCGTTATTTTGACCTAAGATTCAGCATCAACAGCAGCTTTTACCTACACGTGACTCCTGTCTATCGCTGACGTGTCATTTGACTAGGTTGTCACAACAACCTATTCAAAGACAGACTGTTTATTAAATGACATATAAAGAGCTAGAATTCCAATGTTAAGTTCCAAGACAAGCATTCTTTACTTGAAAGATCGGCAAAACAAGTTCTCATTTTATCTATCTCTGTGCCAGACTAAATCAAACGTATTTATCTATTTTTATATATCTCTCATTCCGTTCATATCTATCTATCTATCTATCTATCTATCTATCTATCTATCTATCTAGTAGAGTTATAATAACAAGCTCCACTTGTAGGCCAGAATACAATATTTCTAAATTTTCATTAACCCTCTAAACCACTTGAGTCCACGAGGAATAAGAATAAGACGTTCTTGTAAGATGAATATTCAAAAGATATTGGTGACAGCAGCAGTAGAAGAAGAAGAAAAAGAAAAATGATTCATTTTTTACAGCTTATCAACCCTTTGTAGGTTATTTAAAGCTAGAACATATTTTAGATTTAAAGAATTTTCTTTTTTTTCTGGAGATATTAGTGAAACAAGTCTTGCTAATTAACCCATAGATAGGGAGAGAAGAGGTGAATTCATAACTTTAGCAAGGGTATTTGCACGTAAGTGAATATAACAAAAATAGCGGGAATTAGAAACTCGGCTCTCCGATTCTGAATTCCTAGTCGTTATCCATTATACCATTCGAACATCCAAGCTTTCAGCATCTGATATTCCCAAGCGGTCACCCGTCTAGGTATTAACCAGGCTCGACGTTGTTTAACTTTGGTGATCGGATCGTATAGGAACCAGTGTTTCAACGTGATATGGCAGTAAGTAAGTAAAGAAGCGAGCGATACTAGGATATATAAAGAGATTCTATGCTATACAAAGTGACAAAGTGTCTTTTTTGAAGATGTTATGGTCCAAGGTTAGGACCATGGAAGAACAACACGAAACACCAGAGTAGAAATAACAAAGAATATATTACACGAAAAATAATACAAGAAGTGGAAGGTGTTAGTATGACTGTCAGACTGGTTTGGAGTGAACTACTATCAGCTCGACTCGATTCAATACCGATATTTAACAGCCCCCCCCCCAGGAATATATGTGGCACAAGGCCGAGTTTAACGTGGGTTTCTCCTTTGTATCTGCCTAGACGGGTTCAGGGCCTGTCTACCTCCCCAGACGAAATTTTGCCCTTCAGCAAAGCTTCGTCCGGGTTTCTCTCTGCCAAAGCAGAGAGTTGACTCGATTCAATACCGTCCGTCTCGCTTGAGAGGCGTAGTATATATATATATATAGCGTTAGGAAGAGTTCATTCTGTCGATCTAGGTAAGGACCCATGACAGAAGACTATATCTCTAAACATGACTTCCTGCTTGCTGTTCATTTAAAAATGTGTTCCTCTATGTAGGTCCATAGTAGAGTTTGAAAGACTGACATTCACTTTCAAAATTATCAACGCTGATAATCTGGATGACTCAGCGTTGGATAAGGATTAGAGAGCTAATCTGGTTGACATTAACTGTTTAGTAGTGAGTACGAGCTTCAGATAGTTGTGGCCTTTTGCAAAGTGACAGACGATAGAAAGTGCGAAACAGAAGGCACTTAGGAATATCATAAGATGTCTTTCAGAAATTAAGCAACGTTTAAAAACAGGAAAATGTTAGAAAAAAATTTAAAAATGTTGAACTGCTATGTAATGCTCCATCACTTGTATGGCAATGAATGCAGAAAAATCTTCTCACAGATGAAGACAAGAAGTGACAGAAATCTGGTTCTAACGATGGATGCAGAGAATACCATGGACACGATATGTAAATAATGATGTATTATTAAGGATAACAGAAACTATATAGATACTTATATTTACAATAACAAAGTGACAGCTAGAATAATGGGACAAGTTATAAGGTAATAAGGCCTAGAGGAGTTAACATTCATAGGATATACTGAAAACAAGAGAAGAGGTTAGAGAATTTAACACGAGCGGAAGATTTTGAGAACACAGACCTTCGTGGCCGCAATACGACGGAGTGTCAAAAGGGAAACCGCCCTTTTAAAATAAAAACGGTGTCATAGGAAAAACTGTTCCTATGACACCGTTTTTATCTTAACTACTGTCACTCAATGTTTATTGTTTTAAAAAGCGATGATTAGAATTGTAAAAGAGCATACTTTGATGAAAAAGCTTCAACTCGATAAAAAACAAAGTTTTATCGTCAAAACGTTTATGTTATTATTAAGAGTAAAGACCAATTATTTTTAAAAATTATTTTATTACATTTTTATATACTTTTTAGCACATTCAAAATTTTGGTTAAAAATCTTGTTTTTCTTGCGTCAGTGTGTGAGCCAAAGATTGGTATGGGAAATTTAGCGACTTTTTCTGTTATAAAAACACATTGTTTTGGAAATTCTTGGAAAAAAATCAAATAATTGTCGGGTTTTCATTAAATTTTCAGGACTTTTAAAAATTTCTTTAGAAAATCTTGGTAAAAATATTCTATTTTACCTTTGTTACTCCCACTTACTTAATTTTACGAAATTTTGAGAGATTAAAATTCCGTCTTCATATATATATATATTAGTTAAAAGCAGGAGTCCTTGGAGAATTTAAATCAAAAATTTAATTTTGTCAGACAGAAACACCATTTACCGAAAATCTGCTCTGAGTCATAAAATAAAAAAAAATGCAATACAACTCTGATATCATTTAATTAGTAAAGCGTTTAATTGCTTTTATAAATAAGATTTATTAAGGACACTGCAATTTTAAGAATTTTTTTCGATGAATAATGAACTTTTACAAGAATTGTTTTTATTTTTTTTAATTTTAATTAGGATAATTTATTAAGTTTTAAATTTTTTAACATTCCGTATTACATTCATCCTTTTAGATGATAGTAAAACTATATTTACTAATGATAAACTGAAAAGCTTAGTACAAATCATCAAACACTAATATTTTTAGAAGAATTTTAATTTTTTTTATCTGTATAAACGTGCTGACCATATACAGCCTGACATAAGACTTAAGAGCGATATCTATAGTAAATCTAAAGCTAACAATTATTAAAGTGAAATAAAACATTAGATTACGGAGAATATTTTCTTAAATTTTTAGATTACTGAGTACTTAAAAATGATATATAAATTGAGCCCACGTTAATTCAATTATTTTTTAACGCCTAACACCCCCATAGAACGACATTAGATAAATATCTATCTGTCAAACCGCCAACAGCTATTGTCAGGTTAAAAAAAAGCATTTCAGCGTTATTTTAAACTTAAAGTAAATAGTATTTGTTTCAAATCAGTCAATTTTACTCAAATTAATTTTCAGAAAGTATATTTTATATTTGGAAAAATTTTAATAAAGATAATTAGTTTTGGAATACAGTAAGGTATTTTATTTATTGGAAATATTAAATTTAATCTACTAGCTTGAAATTAAAACTAAAATAAAAGCTTCAAGAAAGATTTTTCATTTAAAAAAATAATTTTACACCTTAGATATCGCGTTTTCTGCAGTGGTACCTACCTAAACATATAATGAAAGTGGATTTACACATTTTTTGTTCTTGAGAATTTACAACAAAAATATTAAACATATTTATTTATTAGATTGTTTATTTACAAGAATAATTTCATATTTACAAGAATCTAAAAACTAATAAAAAACTAATAAAAACTAATACAATGCAATATTTATCATTAACCAATTTAAAAAGAAATAAATATGAAAACAATTCTTTATTGATTATTCATAAAAATTTACTAAATTATAAATATATGTTAACCAGCCATAAGTAAATACTTATTTACCATTTTATCAAGTTTGAATCAATTGGTTTTGCCAACCCTTCCAATAAACAATATAATAAATAGTGTAAATAAACAATCTACTAAATATATACTGTTTATTATGTCAGTTCCCAAGAACAAAGAAAATGTATAAATTGACTTTCATATGTTTAGGTTTTATTACAATTCTAATCATCGTTTTTTTTAAAACAGTGAAGGTAGTTAAAAAGCGCTGTCATAGGAAAACCGTTTTTATTGCCGACACTATGGTAAGAAGTTATGGAAAACAGCCCGAATGGAACTTACTTCTTACCAATGAAATATGAAGGGAATGAAGATGATCCGCCTCTTTGTATATGGCATGCCGGGGTTTTAGCTGTAAAAATCTGAAATGGTGAAACTAGGGAATGTACCTCGTGAGAACATTTTCCATGGAAATAGCGATAGGCTTGTGACGTTGTTTCTGTGGGGGAAAGGGGTGGTAGGATGGAAAATAATTCATCATCTGCAGTGACTGAATCAAAGTTTAACTCTCCAAGTAAATATCTAGTGTATTACTTAATTATAAATTGAATTTAGGTAAAAATGGCACAGGTGGAAAAAATGGCACAATTAATTTTTCATGCTACTTCGTTTTATTAATTCAGATAAATTCCTCCCACAAAAAAATTGACGCTCAGAGTGAACCGGCTCTCCTACCTAAGGATCATCCAATGGTGATAATACGATGTAATAGGGACAACAAAGGTAATCTATGATTAAGACAATTTTTGTTGCTAAAGAATTTTCGGGTTAACACCCACTTTTTTTTTCCAAATATAACTGCATTGCATCATTATTTAATCATTGAAGTTCACTCCTCACTTGGTGCCCGACACTTGCGGCCTTGAGGCTTGGTTTATTTTATTTTACGGTATATCAACCTGAATGGGTTAGTTAATGCCGACAAGATTTCTAGGATAAGTTCTTATGAACAGAATGTGTATTCTTTATAAGAAATCAGTTTGTAGGAGATCGGGTTTCATTGACATATTTTCGTAAAAAGGGTTTTTTGTCGAGAGTCAAATCTATTGCTGGTAATATTTTTTTTCAAAAAATGTATTGCTGGTAATATTTTTTTGTTTTTAAATGTATTTCTGGAAATATTTTTTTTCAAAAAATGTATTACTGGTAATATTTTTTTGCTGATAATTTTACTATTAAAATCTATTTTTATACTTTAATAGTATTTTGACCCCAGTTTAGGGGCTCACTATTTGCCCATAGCTTGTGTTGTGATGTAGAGGTTAGCACTAGTCAGCCGCTAAGCTCGTTGTACTTCTTCGTTATTCTCAGTGACCACTTATATGAGTGTTCACTTGTGCTTATGCAAATTATGCATACTAATTTGCTAGTATCACTACAGCTTGGACCCTAACAAGTGCTACCACCCAGGGTCAGCAATTAAGAGGTGGTTCCACGCTCCACAAAAACTCGCGATCAGAGGCATTACTGCCGGTTGTTGTTTATTGGCATACACAGGACAAGCGGCCTTGTGGCTTACGATAAAAGATTTTTATTAAAAAAAAAACAATCGTACCAAATAAACGGATATAAGAATGAAATATTATCTGACGTTTTGAAAGAAAGCAATTTTGTTATTCTGAGAATTTAGATTATCACCGTAACGTTTCCTCATAAAACATTTCGATCGATATCTTTCGGCTTTCTTCAGGAATATATTGCTTCCATTATTTTTTGATATTTACTAAGCGTAACTTTGTTTTGGCGGAAGTCCAAAAATAATAAAAAAAAAAACATAAAAATTGTGACATTCATGACGAGTCGAAATTTTATCCAGTAATTTTTGAATGTCGTCCAATACTATTATGCTCTTTAATTTAGAAAGTAGTGTCATCACCTCGTGCTTTCATAAGAATATTCTGCCCAAAAGAACAATGGAGAATTCAGAATGAATAATCCATGAAGCAATGACAAACGTTATCATTGTGAGTTGACTTAATTTATTGACTCGCCTACGT